TTCTGACCGCAAAAGTGCACCCACTTTTCACGCAAATTTACGCCTCTTGGCAAACCAAACCAACGCACAAACTTGTTCAAATCACAAAGCACTTCATTTATATCATAAATTTGAAAGAAATCAAAATTTATAGTTTAAATCGCTGCAGAAAACACATCAAGTCGCTAAAAGATCACTATGAAGAGGTAGAAGACGATGTCAACAAAACCAAAGAACATCAAAAACGCTACGAAAACTATTTTCCGAAAATCGCCACGTATGCTGCTGACTCTGCCTATAAGCTAGAGATCTGAAAAATAAGAAAAAATACCAATTATCTCTTGATAATATGATAAGAATGTTTGTTTACAAAATTACCTCTTTCCGCAATTCCTGATAATTTCTGTGGGCAATTGACAATTGTCCAAAGAATTCACCAAAAAATGTACATATATTGAATACACCACACAGTAGCTTTGTTTCTTTACAGATATTTATCACTAGCAAGGCGAATTTACACAAGATAGTGTTATACCATGTTCGGACCGACAACGAAAATACTTTGAAAACGAGTTTTGGGATTGTGTGCTGTAAGCTGTTCGCACCGGCTGTTAGAGTTTTCGTTGACATTTCTTTCATCCTTTGTTTACAGTTTTGCTACGAAAAAACAAAACCATAATATTTTTCTTTCATTTTATTATTATTAGCAAACTTTATCGTTTATTTATATTTTAATTTGGACAGCCAATTGGCAATAAATCCCAACTAGCATATTAGAGATGATAAAATATGACTTACACTTCGATAAATATATCTAAAAAACAAGTGAAGACACCGATTGGAATGGGTGTGTTAAAACAACCAAATTTTAACCAATTTTGTGGTTATTATTTTTCAACGCGATATGTCATGTTATTTTCACATGAAGGAAATTTTTTAACATTTTTCCCTCTTGTTGACTTAACATTGGATAATTGTTAATTTAACATTGAAAGTGCTGTAAATTTAACCTGAAACATCGGTTTATTTTAACAAGGCATGTGGTTGGTTTCACAGGATATTCTACATGAAAATACTGGTTGAATCAACAGGAGTTGTTGTTAAAATAACACTACGTCTTCATGTTAAAAGAACCATATTTTAATGTTATTTTAATATGACATCGTGTTACCTTGTGTCCCTACTTTTACAAAATAAATAACAATTTGTTTAGTTTATTTTTATTAAAAAAATTGAAATATTTACACTGTTGACTTAAAAACTAAGTACTTATCTATTTATTACACAAAATTCATACACAAAAATTTCATATGTACATACATACATACACTATAGTGCGAAACTGAGTCCATGGTGATTTTTGTTGTACATGTGCAAGGTTTTTAAAGTTAAATTTTTTTTGTTACTTTTTTATGAAAACATGGTTTATGCTTTAACCAAAACTATATAAATCAAACTTTCAGTTTTTATGCAGAGCTTAGAAAAACTCAACAAATTTTTATAAAAATTGTGGACTTTTAAAAAACTTTCAAACATTTTTGGGTAGTTTTGTAGCCTGTTAAATTTTAGTATGATAAAGCGCAAGTTTTAAGCGGATAAAAAATTGCTGACGGCTTTTGTGGTTTTTTTTATACAACAAGTGCAATTTATAAAAACTGACAATGAAA